CTAATCATCCACTGATTTCGTATAAGTCAGATCACTATTGCTGGGCTGGCTGTCAGCTCTGTCTACAGGAGAAGTGTCATTCCCACGCTGATCGGCCAAACTGTCGCCTTGGAAGTCGTCTGAGTAATCACTATGCTGATCATCTGCAGTACGATCCTCTCCAGTACTTTTTTGGTGGTCCTCCTGAATCATCTTCTTTGCCGAGACCACTTCTGGCACTTGAAGGTCTTGAAATCCTACCGCTGACAAACTCTTGATCATTTAGTCCTGCACTGTGCAGTGCTGCAGCAAATGTTTTCTCTGCTTTTCTTTTGGCATTTCCCTTAAAAAGAAAATATGGCAGAGGAATTTTAGTTTTGAATTTGAGATCTTCCTCTACTTCTTCTAAGAAAAATATTAAAAAGTATGTCACTTCTATTTGTTTTTACCACTTTTTATGGTATGGTGGGGTAGACAAAGAGAAAAAAAAAGGGGGGGGGGGGGAGGGGGTGGTTGAGGAGCGTGCAGGCATCACGGACTGTGCAGGTTAGAAGGTTCATGACAGCTCGGTGTTGTAACCACTTGGCCAGTACCTTCCCTTCTTCATTCAACCTTAAAAGGGTAGTTGGCACATCGTATTGTGGTTTCACCTAGGCTAGAATATCTGCATCCTTCAGTTTAAAACCTCCATTTTCAACAAACCCCCTTCCCACTTCCATAAGTTGACCGCTTTGTTACAGTCACTTGAGTGATCAATCGACAGCAGGTCTGCGGTATGAAAAAGGTAATAAATAAATGTTAAGGAAGACAACTGGTACAGACAGTGTTAAAAACTGAATTACATCAACAATTTTTCATTCTTTCATCATCATCAATTTCCACATCTGCCATTAAGAATCATGAGGACGAACAGTTTGTGATTCATTGCTTAATGGGCAGCAATGGCTTTGACATTTCCTGTCTCGATGTAGGAACTCTTTAACCCTTTAAAGATGAAGCCTTTTTCGAGCTTCAGTGCCAAGAAGACAGAGCCTTCAGGAGGGGATTCTATTAGTTTACAGAAACAAAAATAAAGCTTTTAATTAACATACACAAAACTATATATATATTCGTGTAGGATATTGAACGAACTAACATAATCTTTATAAATTGCACTGACATCTCAACATTTATTCAAATTAGCTATCAAATTCGCATTTTTATGTGTGCATAAAAAAAAAATTAGGTAGGACAACCATTACTAAACTGAACAATTTGACTTTCCTGAGTGGGCTCCGGGGCCCAACTGTGGGGAAATCAAGAATAGACTCACTGTATCCCCAACCAGCATGTCGTAGGAGTCGACTAATTGGGAGCCTCCTTGGGAGTGCATCTTCCTGAGCGGCAAGGATCAACCAACTGCACACAAATAAGCCAGTAAAATGAATGTAGATGCAAAACTCGAGGCCCTGGCACAAAGCCAAAGTCTAAATAGATGAACAACCAGGATTTTCCACTGGAGCTTACAGCCAGTGAACAAAGAAGAAGAAGAAGAAAAAAGAATTTAACTAAATTTTCTGATGAATGAAGCCTGAATGTCCTAACGCATGCGTTTTGGGAAGTAAGGCTGATGTAAGCCCTCTAGACACCTCTGACACCTGGTTCTACTCCAATTTCTGCCTCCTACTACATTTTAGTTGCTATGATGCACACGCCCTTTCCACCATTGTTAGGCACAGGTAACGCTGCCCTCCATTCTTAAAATTGATGTAAAATTACAGAATGCATCAAACTTTCTCGAAAGCCATCACTGAACAGCCAATGTGTGCAAGAAGCAATTTGACTGGCTGATACGAAAACCTGCCAGCCAATCTCAAGGCTTATATTACAGGGCTGACCAATCGGCTCAACAGTCTTTTTGGCTATTTTGCTGTTGGGCCGACAGATCTGCCGAGTCGTCTTCAAGGGGTTAATGTCATCAGTCCATATTTTCCTGGGGTGACCTCTTTATTTCACATCAGATCTTTTTCATGTGTAGTGCCTGTGTTGGCAGTTCTGGATGCATTCTTACTACATGACCAAACCATTTCATCTTCTGGTTTGTCAATGATTTTGCCGAATGGTAATGTTCTCACAATCTGTCAGATAATATCATTTCTATTTTTGTCTTTTATGTAGGTTAGCCTCTGATAATGTCCAAGTCAGGCACTGGTAGCACGAATATGCTGTTTATAATCTGTTTCTTGACACTCATACTTATATTTGGATGTCTTAATAATGGTGTCAGTTGGTATAAAAGTTTACTGGATTATTGACTTGTTTCTTACCCAATCTCTTCTTCCATTCTCTGAGAATATACTTCCTAGATAATTAAATTCTGTAACCTGCTTCAGACAAGTACCATTTAATCCTATATGTAGCAGACTAAAAATGTTTTTGTAGCATTCTTTGAGGGAACAAAAGAATGCAGACAAATAATGGATACTTACTGCTATAAATTTCTCCACAAGTAGGGGTGACCGCTCTACTTTTGCATTCATCTCTTCTATCTCTCTTTCATATGCAGCCTGTCTCTCTCTGTCCTCCCGTCTAGAGAGGTAAATTTGCAACATTAAACTGACAGTATAATTTTATATCAGATCTGAATATTCTTCTCATTCTTAAGCAATCAATTTAAACATGTTTAAAAATCAAAACATTACGGAAATCTTTAGGGTCTTTTTCTTCTATCTTCCTCTGCTCTTTACGATCCCCATGGAGCACAGACCCTCAACCATCTCACATAAAGCCTTTTTACAAAAGACATTTTATATTTTGTGTGTGTGTGGCTAATGTTAACCACATCTGCTGAGACTTGGTCCTAGACCGAGAGATTTGATCACAACTTAAATGAGCATTATCTCCTGTTGGCGAATTCTCATGATACAGGCCTGTCTCTGCACATCTTTTATTGACCCTCAGGGTTGTCTTGCCCCGATGATGGATACCAAGACAATCTGATACTGTCAGTCTGATGATTAGGCCTAAATATCTGTCAGATATGTGTCCCATGGTATAAAAGCAAATCTTTTTGACTGGCAGAAAGATTCAAATGTCATTTACCATTGGCCCCACTTGCCAGAGTGGCGGGACCAAAGAGGGGAAGCCATGCTGGATGCATACTTTTCCATATATCGTGCTAAGTGTACTGAGACAACAAAGTTAAAAGTGTCTAATGTGCTGAAGAAGAATGTGCCTATTTGTATGTTCATCGAAGTCCTGGACCTCCGGGCTGCTTCCTGCTGATAGCTGGAGGGTGCAGCCCATAAAGAGTGGGAAGCTCAACATATGTTGAGCAGTTGATCTGAACGGGTTCTCCAGTGGCAGCAACACCTGTAGATAAGGACAAAGAGCACACCACATAAATAAGGTTAGGTGAAATTATCTGGGAAGTTAACCCAGTCAACAAATGCTTGATGAAGTCAGATGTGTTGGCCGAAAGGCGCAAATATCCCAGCTATGCTGTAAGCAGGCACAATGCAATTACGACACTTGGAGGAATAAAAAGAAGAAGAAGAAGATAATTACAGTTAAAAGATGGTCATCCCACTTCTGAAGGGATCAACCTACAAAAATTCATCAGCGAATGAAGGTCTAATGTGGTGTTACATGCCTATCAGTCCAGATAGTATATGAGCAGAGTAGGAAGGTTAAAAAATGACAAGACTTCTGTGACAGACTGTTCACCACCGTGTTGGGCAGACAGAGAAGTGACAGGCCATTTTGAAACTTCCTACTCCCCTGTATTAATACAAACCTTATTTTCTTCAGCCGTTCTGCTATAGAATCTCTTGGTTTAGGAATGTCAGTACTACTGATTTTCTCAGACAAATACCGTCTCAGTTTTGCTTCCCTAGTTCTTTTCTTTCTTTCTGCTTCCTCATCGTTCTTCTGATGATTTGCCGATCGCTCCTTTTCTTTCCTAATTGAATAAACAGCAGCTGCATAATAGTTCCACCAAATCATTCAAAGTATAGATTATTACATGCTAATCACAAAGGTGACTTCTAAAGATACAGGTTATAGATACAACACTTATATAATATTTCCAATCAATAATTTTTTTCCATGTTAATTTTTTTTTTTTTTTTTTTTTTTTGGAAAAAAAAAAGGCGCCGGTACTCATCAAAAAGTGTGTAAAAAGGTGCCGGTACTCACCACAAAGTGTCTATTACAGGAGTACTGAAAAATGTATGCTTCAAAATAGGTGCCAGTAATGCGTGCCATAGCATACCAGCCCCCTTCCCCACCTCCTCCCAAAAAGCCCTGCATCCAATTCAATCCCAAATGACTCTTGTCTCCACAGAACAACCAGCTGCTTGCCGATAATGTCTCACAAAGTACACACTCCAAGCTCCAGCGATGATTCCCAGGGATCTCCAAACAAATTGCACTTTTGAAGTAAGTGATGCAGTCCACAAAACAAACCCACAATGTTCACAGCATAAGGCAAACAGTTTAGCCACAGATACCCTCATCTTCTTCTTTTTAGTGTACACTGGCTGTAAACTCCGGCAGAAAGTTCCGTTTGTTCGCTGACTTCTGGATTTTATTCTTGTTCTAGAACTTGTGTTTTGCATGCATATACATTTTGCTGCTGGGAGACTCTTCCAGGCCATAAACCGAGGGTTTCTTAGCAAAAGATAAATTGGCAAGAGGACGAAAATGGCTGTTTACCGCTCTACATATGTACCAGTCCTGACCTATCGGTGTGAGTCATGGGCAATGACAACAGCTCACAGAAACCAGCTGCAGGCCTCAGAAATGAGATATTTGAGAAAGCTGGTCCAAGTGACAAGAAAAGACAAAGTCTGCAATCAGACAATACGTCAAGATCTTGATACCCAGTCCTTACAAACTCGAGTGGATCAGTCACAGTTACGATGGTTTGGACATGTATGCAGAATGGGAGAAAATCGGCCACCATGGCAGGCATGGGAGGCTAAGAACCAGGGAACCAGACCTCCAAGACGACCCAGGGTGCGCTGGGAAGACAACATCCGACAGTCCCTAACTGACAGAGGACTGGAATGGAACAAAGCCAGAAAGAAAACTGCTGATAGAGACGTCTGGCGATCTCTCTGGCAAACCTCTACACCCCAAGGTAGAAGAGGAGCAACTAAGTAAGTAAGTAAAGTAAAGTACAGAAGGGCCAGTTCTAGAAATCTCTTTCTTCCATGACGCTGCAAGGCGTTCCAGGAGTAGAGAAAAGAAGAAGTTATAATTGTATATGAAGTGAAAGAAAACTTGTTTCTTCTGATAAAACTTACTGAAGCCTTGAGGATCTCAGCTCTGCAGATCTAGTAGTCTGGGTTGGGATGTAATCCATTGAATCTGATACAGCTTCTGTAATAGAGATTTCTGGAGGTTAAACCTAACTTTTCCAGAAACATTTCTTTCAACTGTAACAAAATTTGTTTCTTCACTTTAGATATGGCTTGGATTGCATGCTCAGTATTATATATTTCTAAAGATGTGTTCATTAATTTTTTATTTTTTTTATTACCAAATGCAACATAACCCTTCAACCATCTCAAGCCTTCGGTTTTTTTTCTGGCTGTACGCAACGGTACACAAAACCAGCATTATTTTCATGCATATTTTTTTTTCAGTGCTGCTACAACAGACACTTTGTTATGCGTACAGACACTTTGTTATGCATATGGACACTTTGTTAAGACACTTTGTTATGACTACATACACTTTGAGAACTGGCACTTATTTTCCAGAAAAGAATCTCCGTCAAGCAGAGCCCTTTGTATATACGATCATTATTGCTTGAATGTCTTAGCCAAAATGTGACAATTTTTGAGGTTGCTAGTCCCAAATAAAGTACACTGAAACTATTCTAGTATAAATATTTTAAAAAGTAATTTTGGTGTAGCAATCGACACAGCTAGAAACTTACTTAGCAAAACAAATAGCCAGGAAAATCAAAATAAAGGCAAAAAGAGTGATTTTACAGTGAGAAGGTTAATTATAATGTTGCTTATAATTCGTTTGAAACAATTACTAAACAAACAAAAAAATCCATTGAACTTTTCTGATGTATGTAAGTTATCTTCTAATTCTTTTTATTAGCCTTCACTGACTGTAAACTCCTGCAGAAACCTCTTGTTATTCACCCACTTCTGCACTTTGGTTTTGTTCCAAAACTTGAGTTTTGCATGCATATTCATTTTACAGATCTGCGTTCTGTGTGCAAACTGTTGCTTTTTCATCTCTCAGGCAGCTGTACTCTGACTTCAAAGGAAAACCCTAATTAGTCACTTTTTATTACATATTTATTGCAGAAGGAGGGACAGGGGGGTGTGGTGTGAGGGTATATTCCTTTTCCCCCAAAATGGGGTTCTGTAACTCCCACTGTGACATGTAAGTTTACACAAAATTAAATTTCCACATGTATACACAGTAAAACACAGCAGCCTACCCAAATATTTCATTGAACTTCGAGGTGTCATCCTAGAGCTTTGAAATGGCCAGCGGTTCTCTTTTAATCTTTTCTCATCCTCTTCAATATCTCTTCTAATTTTATCCTTATTTGAATGAATTTTTTCTGTTTCTAAGATGAAAGGATCAACAACAGTTCCTGTTTGAATTAATCTACGTCTTTCTAGATCTTTTTTGAATTCGTTATATAGTGCATCGTAATCAGGAATTCCATAGGCACTGCGTGATCGCTGCTTTTTTGTTGTCAATTTTGCCTTTTTTATTTTCTCTTTTCTTTCTTGCTCTTTAAGTCTCTCTCTTGCTGCCATATTGGGAGGAAGTGATGACTCCCTAAGAAGTTCTTTAGCTCGCATTTTAACTCTAATCTTGCGTAATTCCTCTTCTTCCAGAAATTTGTCATCAATATCTTGATTAAATATATGTCGCGGAACCGGCTTGGCTTTGAATCTATTGCTGGCCCTATCTGGTCTGATAACTGGGGCTGAATGAGCTCTTTGAGACTTCTTCTGTTTCTCTCTAATGTCAAAATTAAATGGTTTTACCTGAGACTCAAGCAGCTCCTGGCAAATCTGCTTTATGTATTTTCTTCTTGTCTCATTTCTCTCCATTATTTCCTCAAACTTTGGAAGATAGACATGGGCAGGCACAGGCTGCGCTTTGAATTTCTTTTCACATTCTGCTTCTTCTTGTTTCTGCTTGGCCAATCGTTGTTGTTCCAGTTCTTCTTGTGCCTGTGTTTTCTTCTTTGGTTTTAATGAATCTCTGATGCTCATTTTAAATGGCTTAGGTATTGTAATTCTGTGTCGCCACTCTTTTTTTATTTCTTCCGATTTCTCTTTGTTTTTATTATATGAGGAAGAGAAAGAATGTCGTCGCTGTGAGTACTCTGAGATCTTAAAATCCTCCCATAGTTTATCAACCTTTGCAAGTGCTGTTTCATATTCACTAGCATGATCGTGCTCTAAGGGTATTTTAAAATTATCACTAGACTCTCTTGATTTAAGGAACAGTTGATGCCAGTACTCTTCATTTAGGCTTTGTGATCTCCTTTCTGTTGGAGCTGAACTTAAATGCTGAAGCTCGGAACAATGTGCTGAATTTCTAGGTAGCTTTTTGCTTTGAATAGGCGTTTGCAATGTAGCTCCCCTAAATTTCCCTGTGGGTGGCTTCTTAGCCACCGACTCTTCTGTCATAGTATGAGTTCCTCTGCCTTTTACACTGAGTTCCAGGTTTCCACGAACAGTTTTTGTATCAACACCGGATCTATCTAATCCCTGAAATCCTTCTGTTTCCACACATTCGTGTATTTTATCATGGTAAAGTCTCTCAAAAGCTTCCATTGTCTTTTTATTTTCTTCTTTTAGTTGCTGAAGTTTTTCATAAAATTCAGTATCGTGTGTTGCGCGCATTTTATCACGTCTATCAGTAATACTTGCAGTTACAAAAGAATTCCTGTCTTCTACTTCTTCAAGCCCTGACTCGTCTGCAACGTCAGTTTCTTGAGATGACACAACATCTGCCACTTCTCTGCCATTCTTTAATGCACCGTTGTATTTTAGGGGAAAATTGCCTTGATCGTGCAACGAAGAACTTAATCTAGTTTTCCGATTAATGGGAGTTTTAACGCAAGTGTTCGCCCAAACTGTGAGACCGTGGCTTGTTGACGCCATGGTTGCTATACACATAGAAGGAACGCGGTAATTATTATTTTGTTATAGTTTTTAAAAAAAAGCAAATTAATAAATAAAATGTGTGTGTTATTTTCGTTAATAATTTGAGTAAATTATTTATATTTTTTGACATACGTCTTTCATAGACTACTAAATTATATGCGGAATTGTAAAATTTGGCAAGGGAAACAACTCAAGAAATAAAATGGCGTTGAGGTTAACAGCAAAGGTTTTCGAAAAGCGGTTCTGCCGATTTTGTCAGGCCGCAAAAAAATTTAACCGAGCGGCATATAGCACAACCACTGATCCGACCCAGGATGCAGAATACTCAGATATTGTCATCTCTGGGGGTGGTATGGTTGGTGCAGCTATGGCGTGTGCATTAGGTATGAATTTCTCTTACTAGCACTCTTCATTAGTCAGAATAACAACGGTCCCTTATTATTATTCGGAAGAGTGCCTACTTGCTTACAAATATTATATTATTTTTATTATTATTTTTTTAAAACTATTTAGTAAGGGACGCGAGTGAAATTTGGCTCTCCTTCGATCTTCATTCCCATATTAAGGCGGCTAATAATAGATACTATAGTCAAATTTTCAAAATGCCCTCTACATAGCTACTTCAGTGATATTTTTAAAATGCCATCTACACCAATAAAACCAGCACAGTTAGATAGCTGTAAACAATCTCTTTCCAATGGTACCTCATTTAGGCTTGTATGTCATTTCTGAGCTGAGATATGTAGGTTTTTGTGGAGATGAGATGTAAGAAACAGCCGCTAAAACTTGTGACCCAGAAACAAGAAGTTTTTCACTGCGCAACCTACTGCGCAGTTCTGTATCGGCTTTGTTGACATTGGACTATCATTGGACAAGATGGCAGGCAATGAGACTCAGCCGCATGCGATTGCCTAAAAAATGTCACTGTAAATCTAAACAGAAGAAAACGGGAAAGAAATTTTATATTCAAATGTAAAATTGGACGGAGAATTCAATTATAACTAGCATTACAACATCTGGTAATGTTTAAGCCTAAAGCCAACCTCGAATTTACCGCTATTTTCAATCAAACTGATAGACTAACAGAAAAACAGAGGATGTCCGGCTGTCGTACACATGCGCTGTTAATCAGGTTCCTTCCCGCCGTTTTCAGCTATTTAGAGTGGGTGAAAATCACACCAATCGCAAAATTTCATGAGAGATTAGGACCCATCCCGAAACCCCAGCCGACATTTCCGAAACAAGTTTTAAACGGTTTCCATGGTAACGGAAATTGTCGAAAAGATCACAAATTTCCGAAACTGTAGGACCTACCTACACCAATAAAACCAGCACAGTTAGATAGCTGTAAACAATCTCTTTCCAATGGTACCTCATTTAGGCTTGTATGTCATTTCTGAGCTGAGATATGTAGGTTTTTGTGGAGATGAGATGTAAAAAACAGCTGTTGAAAACTTGCGTCCCAGAAACAAGAAGTTTTCTCTGCGCAACCAAACTGCGCACTTATCGTTTTGGCTTTGTTTGCATTGGACAAGATGGCAGACAATGAGACACAGCCACATAATAGCGATTGCCTGAAAAATGTCACTGTAAATCTAAAAAGCCACTGATAAGAAAGAAATATATACAAATGTAAAATTGGACGGAGAATTCAATTATAACTAGCATTACCAGTACGAGTAATGTTAAAGCCTAAAGCCAACCTTGAATACTTACTGCTATTTTTAATAAAACTAATGTAACAGAAAAACAGAGGACGTCCGGCTGTCGTACACATGCGCTGTTAATCGGGTTCGTTCCCGCCGTTTTCAGCTATTTATAGCTGGTTAAAATCACACCAATCGCAAAATTTCATGAGAGATTGGGACCCATCCCAAAACCAGCCGACATTTCCCAAACAAGTTTCGAACGGTTTCCATGGTAACAGAAATTGCCAAAAGACCGCAAATTGCCGAACACCGTAGTCGCTATTTTTTCCACTATTTAGTAAGGGACACAAGTGAAATTTGGCTCTCCTTCGATGTTCCCATATTATGGTGGCTAATAAATACCCTAGCAGTGCCTCATCAAATTGCATGCCTGCCGAGGAACAAATCGCGGCAAAACTATGATTGCCTCCGGATAACGGGCCAATATTATCGAGGGCAAACAAATGCTTCAACAGGGTCTCAACGATATATTAATTGTGGACCTCTTTCTGACGACTATACCGCACCGCCGACAGTATCCCTCGCGCCACTACGCGCGGCACGGATGGGGGGGGGGGGGGAACGAACGAACGAACGAACAAACTTTATTTTCAAAGGGTCACAAATTGGGCACGCAGGCCCGTCTTACATTCGGCCCTTCCAGTCAACCATCTTTCGCACAGCAGTTGTATTTTACTAATAAAGCATGTTATGATCATATGATGTTATGCATATTATGAATATTATAAAAGAACACAAAAGCATGAGTTGTAAAGTGCATGCAAAACCCCGCGCGTGCATACATACACCAGCATACACACGCTCACCCACTCACTTACACACACAAACATGCATGCATACATTCCATACATACATACACAGATACATATAAACAAACATGCATACACACATACACACAGGCATACGTACACACAAACATACATACATACATAGATACAAACATACAGGCATACATTAATACATACATACATTAATACATACATACGTAGTACAGGCATACACACATACAGTCATAAATCCAGTCATGCATGGAGACACACACATGCACACACGGACACTCCCACACAGACACAAACACTCAGACAAAAATACAGACACACACACACAGACACTTACATATAAACATACACAGGGAAACACACAGCACACATATTTACATTCGTGCTCACACACTGACACACACACCACACATACGCAGACAAACATGCAAACACATACATACAGCCACATAGACACACATGCAGTCAAACACACACACACACAAATACAAACAGGCAGACAAACACATACTGACACCCACAGAGACAAACACGCAGAAATGCATATACATACAAACACATAGAAATACACACGCAGACACATATATTCAGCACGCACAGACATATACTCTGAGACTCACAAGCCAATAAATTGGAGGAAATTGCAGGAGATGGGGTAGCTGCTGCTCATGAGTTTAGGAGATGGTTTAGGAGGATATGCTCGGCGGTGAGTTTAATTGGAAGAACACTATCGCTAACCTGCGTGGGAGCACGTGGTCTCTCCGCCATGTCGCTATTATCGTGTGTATTGTTGCGTTTCTCGAAATTGTCAACAGACAATAATCCTAGTTTTGCAGCGATTTGTTTGTCGGAGGAAGTCCACATTTTACACATGACTGAGGCCCTGTTGGGGTATTTTTTTGGCCGCCATAATATGGGGACAAAGATCGAAGGAGTGCCTGAAATTTTGTATATATAATATACTATTATTATTTTGAAATCATCACAGCTAGACAGAGATTTAAATACGAAACCAACGATACCTGAGTGAAGCCTGTAAGTTAGTTTAAGAACAGATATGGAGATATTAGTTACTGACCAGGGAAGGATACATGGTAAAATGCAGCCATTTTTGCCTTTGACATTTTCGAAGGCTTCCAGAACAGACAGCAAGCGGTGGTAGCGGCACTTGATTTAGACGATGCTAACAACAGAGTCAGATACAGTATCTTGATGACAGTGCTTATGGAGAAGGGAGTCTGTCCTTGGTTGGTGAACTGGATAGCTCTCCACCCAGGTTCAAGGACCTCTGAACCATGTATTATAGCTCCAGGACTACCACATTTAGTTAGTTAGTCAACAGATTATCCTCATTGCACATTGAAGCATTCAGTCCATAAGTGCTCGGATCCCCACCTTAGTAAATCCCACAAAGTGTAGCAGCTCACAACACAAATTCTGTGTTGGTTTTGTATTATCCTTGGGCTTCCTTCCTAGTGCTCTTGTCTGGCCACACCCTTTTTAACATGTTCTTGCAGTATGGTCATTGTTGCAGATTCATAGTCATCACTTAGTTCTCGCAAATGTCTTACTTCTCATTGAGCATTCAGAATATCAGTATGGTCCATGACTCGTCCATCCTCCACAGTAGCTTTACCTGCAAGCCAATGTGCTTGCTCATTTTCTCGCACACATGCATACAGTGGCACAAATATGAAACTGATATGTGTCAACCCCGACTACCACAGGGATCTGCAATTTCAACTGTGCTTTTCAGTGTTTTACTAGCAAGTTGTAGACCTGAAAACATCTGGAGTTTGCAGAATATTGACATTCACAGATGATGTTCTCACATGTAGGCCGGGGAGGAAATTGGAATCAAATAGCTTAAGAGTTACCGGCGACAGTAGATAAGGTGATCGACTGATGTACAGAGATGAGTGCTGTAATCAACTCAGAAAACGCAACTGTCCTGTGGTATTCATTGGACAACAGGATTGTTAGAGCTGATGTTCCAAGGGACATCAAAAGAGACAGCAGACTGCGGCACCTGGGAATCACCTTTGACAGAAGTTTGGCTTTAAATGGATCACATAGAAGTGGTTGTGACAAGGGCCCAAAAAGGTCATAATGCACTAAAGATTATGACAGGAATGGACATGGCACAGAGAATATTGTTCACTCTATACCAGCACTTAATGATCTCAATGATTGATTTTGAATTAATCACTGTCTCAAAGAGTCAGCTAGAGAAACTGGAGCGTATAGAGATTGAAGCTATGAGGTTGATCTTAGGATGTGCAAGATACACTCCGTTTGTGTGCATGTGATACATTCTTGCATTGCCGACTGTTGCAGATAGGCAAGGGTGAATACCCTGTGCGTAGTGATATCGGTTGTGATAACATAAAACAACTGATATTTCGAGTCATATTAAATACACACGTTTTAAAAAATGTTAATTGAAAAAGTCATTTAATGTAAGAATGACATGTTGAATAACACGTTGAATGCTTTTCCTCCATTTATTTAGCAAATAATAAGTTCCTGAAGGACAAAAAAATTGTCCTGTTAGAGTCACAACGAGACACTGGAGATTTTGTATTGCCTGAAAAATACAGCAATCGGACATGTGCGTTGAGTCCAGCCACCATTCGTTTACTTGATAGTAAGTATTATTTCACTTTTAATAATTTTTGTTACAATTTTTTCTGCTATGACAGCAATGTGACAGTGTTATTTATCACCGTCTGTTATTTATCGTTGTCTGACATACATTGGTAATCTTGCTTTTTGCTTTCTTCTGTGCTCAACCAATTAAAAAAAAAAATTATTGCATGCAAATGTCTATTGTTTCTACTTTAACAGGTCAGAGTTTGTGGCTTAGGTGTTGTGACTGTACTTAGTAATTCTTGGGGCCAGATTCAATCCCAGCTGCAGGCCATTTGGCAGAAGATCACCTTGAGTTGGTTTCAACAGTGGTATTGAAAGCCAACCGTCCAGAAAACCTTGGCAAACTATGGAGCGTAAAATTGCCTAGTGAAATCACAGTCAGCCAAACATATAAAGGCTGAGGTTTGGTTTCAACAGTGGTATTGAAAGCCAACCGTCCAGAAAGCCTTGGCAAACTATGGAGCGTAAAATTGCCTAGTGAAATCACAATCAGCCAAACAAAGAAAGGCTGAGGTTTGGTTCCACAACATCCTGTATAAGAAATTCAACTGACTTTACTACATAGCTGTCATTTTTATTTTTCTGGGCTGATATGTGCAACTTTTTTTGTTATATTTATTGTGTGTGTTCCCTTCTCAAGCAGTTTTGTAGGACACTGCTTTGTCCAGGAAGGCTAGCCCCGGCATCAAATGCCTGCAGAAGTTGGATGTGTTGGCCGAAAGGGGCAGATACTGCAGTGATGATGTAATTGGGCACAATGCGTGACATCTTCTGAGGAATACATTGTCTCAAAGAACGACAGTGTCTCAACAAACTCTATGAGAGTACACTTAGTAAATTTGTTCCCAACAGCTGCTTGCTTGTTGTTCGGTTCTCAACGCAAGGTAGGGACAACATAATCCCAGGACATTTTAATTAATTCAACAACAGAACATTCAGTTCTGGTTTCTGGTTCCCAGTAACTGTTTTATATAGTTGAACAGGGGGTTTAGATTTGCTGCTTTTGGATTCTCATCTTAGAAGTGACTCTTTGAGTCACTGGGTGTCAGTCTAAGGCTGCAGTCCCAAAATGCACACACACAAAAAACATTTGAAAATGAAAACCTACTAATTGAACACTGAATGACAGATGTGCATAGAAGCCACGGCTTCAGAATTTTAGACTTTTAATCTCTCATTTCAGAGTAGAGAATTTTTTTCTTTTTAATGAGCATGCATAACTAAGTAGTCCCTACATTTTCCATTGCTGCAGGTTTTGGAGCCTGGAAGGAAATTGAGGCAATGAGATGTCATCCAGTTCTCAGAATGCAGGTAAATATGAAGTTAACAGTTGTATAGTCATGGTTGTAGAAAAGTGTCAGTTTAAGGTGTTTCTCCATCTTCTCCTCATCCTCTTCCTCCTCCTCCTTTTTCTTTTTCCTCTTATGCTGCTGCTGCTGCTTCTTCTGCTTCTCCTCCTCATCCCAATCCTTCTCCTCCTCCGCCTTTTTCTTCCTATTTCTTTTTTTCTTCTTCTATATTTGCCTTTCAAAGGGTGGTTGGCACATTGTGCTTACAGCTAGACTGTGATATCTATGTCTTTTGGCCCAATACATCCAATTTTAGCAGTTACCTAATTACTACCTTTTGTGACCTGTTTGCTAGAGAACAGTGGATCTATTCCACCCCTTCCCCCATCCCCTCTCCCCCACACTTTCCAAACAAATTGGGGCCTCAGAATCCACACAGGAAAAGGTGCTTTTAAATACTGTAGCAATTATCTGAAAGCTCTTTCTTCACTTCAACATTTCCTTTTAAGAATTTAATTTTCATGAAGCTAAACTGGAGTGCAGTGGTAGCTTGCTGTCTCTTTCTTTGTTTTTCTTCTTCGTCTTCTGCCTTTTATCTCCAATGGAACATAGACCCCCAACCAATTCATGGCAGACTCTTTTTAGACTTTCTTATCTTTTTCTGCATGCTTCCTTGAAAGGGTGGGTGGCAGGTTGTGTTGTGGTTTACAGCTAGGCTCGTAATTTCTTTCTTCAGCTCTTGCTCTTTTTTTGGGCATATATTACTGTGCCACATGCATTTATAGCCTGACCCATGAAGTCACATAAATACTTCTGGACTACTGTACCAGTTATCTACACAAAAATGTCTGACCTTTTTTGAACAAAGGTTGTCTGTTAAGTAAAAATAATATCAACCCCCTTTGCCTAAACCTGACCCAGTAATGTCTCTGTTGACAGCAGTTTACACTGTACAATCTACAATCTACCCAGTTCTCCAGTCAAACAAAAGTTTTCAAGCTAAATCTGCTTCCCTGTGATGGAGTGTATTCCTCAAAAGACAGCTTTCCTTTCGAAAGAAGTAGTGACTCATCAACAACCACACCGAGATGAGGCCAATGTACACCTCCAAGTGACATGACCACTGTTTAATCATATGTAAATGGGTTACTTGGATCAGAATATGGCTAGTGTGAGTTGCCCTTTTGCCGCCCTTTGACCCGTCAAGAATAACTGTCCTTAGTAGTCTGTAAAGCAAGTCAAAACACATTTTCTCATTGAGAGTTGTGAGTCCACAGAAACCACAAGGCGAGTTACGTCTTTCTTAGCTGTCTGTGAGCAAATGACTAAACACATCCATGGTAGCTAAAGGGCGGTAGGTATGTTATGTTGTAGTTTACAGCTAGTCTGCAATATCTGCACTTGTCCGCCCTACATTCTATTTTAGCAGATCCTCATTAGTCGCTTTTTACAACATGCTTGTTAAGGAGCAGAGGGACTCTGCCCCCCCCCCCCCCTTTTTTTTTTCACATGAGGCCCCTAAACCCACACAAGGAACTAGCAGTCTGATGGAATTAAACTTATGCTATGGTTTTCACTTGTTATTTATCTCTCCCTTTCTTTCTGTCACATTTCAGACAGATTGTGTTAAACTATTTGCAGGTTTGGGAGTCATGTTCAGATGCCCTCATAACTTTCAGCAATCCAGACATGACCGAAAGTTTGGCCCACATTGTAGAAAATGATGTGATTCTGGCAGGCATCATGAAAGCTCTCAAAGCCGTGAAAAACAGAGTCGATGTTCGCTATGAGTCAAAGGCTGTTTCTTACAAAATTCCAGAAGGTCACGATCCTCCAGAACAGAAACAACCCTTTGTGGAGATGATCTTGAATGATAATAAAGTGCTTAGAACAAGATTATTGGTAGGTCAAATTGATTTGGTTATTTTGGTTCTTTGAGAGAATGAAAAAAAAAAAATGTCTGAGTTATTTAAATAAAACTTAGGAATAGTCTGTTTATGAGTGGAAGTCAGATAGAAAAGATTGCCAGAGTGAGAATGTTGGCACTAGTGTGTTATTTCAGGCTATCTAGTTCTATAGAGCGGCATAAGAATCACATAAATAAATGAGCCATTAGAAAATAGAATAATAATAATAATAAAATATTCAACAAAATATGTTGCAAGGTATTTAAACTGTAGTTTAAATTTGTGTATAAATTTGTTTGATAACAATGGTGAGCACATACCAGCAGTGGACCGGCCTAACAAAATGGGAATTTCCGTAGACCTGTTGGGCCTTATTGCCAGAGCTGGCCGTGGTTTAAACAAAATTAGAATGCTGTTTTAGTTTTAACATATGCTGGTGAAAATTGGAGACCTAATAAAAATGTGGAATGAAAGTTAAATGTATTCAAAAAGAAATGGCTAAGGAAAATTAGGAACACAAAATAGGATGCATTCAAAATGAGTGGAAAAAAAAGATAAGTGGGCAGCCACTAGTATCAACAGTTATAAGACAGAGAAGATGTCTGGGCAGCCACTAGTATCAACAGTTATAAGACAGAGAAGATGACACTATATTGGACACATCCTGAGAAGAGACTAATAGAGAATCACTAAACAGGCACTGGAATGAGAAATAGTGGAATTCAGGAAATGAAGAAGTCTAAAAGAAACCTTAAAGTGGATGTTGATGAAAGAAACCAGAGGTGCAGGAGTGGATTCTATCCATGATATCTTGGTGAATGTTGATGAAAGGAACCAGAGGTGCAGGGGTGGATTCTATCCATGATATCTTGGTGAATGTTGATGAAAGAAACCAGAGGTGCAGGGGTGGATTCTATCCATGATATCTTGGTGAATATTGATGAAAGGAACCAGAGGTGCAGGGGTGGATTCTATCCATGATATCTTGGTGAATGTTGATTAAAGAAACCAGAGGTGCAGGGGTGGATTCTATCCATGATATCTTGGTAAATGTTGATGAAAGAAACCAGAGGTGCGGGGGTGGATTTTATCCATGATATCTTGGTGAATGTTGATGAAAGGAACCAGAGGTGCAGGGGTGGATTCTATCCATGATATCTTGGTGAATGTTGATGAAAGGAACCAGAGGTGCAGGGGTGGATTTTATCCATGATATCTTGGTGAATGTTGATGAAAGAAACCAGAGGTGCAGGGGTGGATTCTATCCATGATATCTTGGTGAATGCACAGGATTGAACGGAATGGAGAAATAGAGCCCTATGTGACGTATAATGAAACAACAGCATAATGAACGAATAAAGGAGACAGCAAATAAGTCATGGAAATACAAGCACGGATGTACATTCATAGTTGTTTTCAGAGAGCTTTTTATGTATCTCAAGTCCTTGTAATCATTGCATGTAATGGCTTTATGACTTCATGTTAGATCGGAGCTGACGGAATGAATTCTGAAGTCCGCAAGGCAGCAAAGTTTCACACAATCAGGAGAGATTACGGACAGAGTGCTGTTGTTGCAACTCTGGTACTGGCAGATGTAAGTATATGTGTGGTTAAGTAAATGTAATCATGGATTGTTGAGTTGTACTGACTGTAGTGGTTAGTGCACAAGCCAGCTACGTAGCTGTTTGGGTTCACTTCTCAACCAAAGAAAGGTTTTTCCCTGAACAGTATGACCTGAGTCAATCCAGCCTCAAACAAATGAGTAAAGCACCCTTTTCCATCTCTTCCGGTGTATTGGGCATATAGTTCTAGACCTATATTTTATAGACCAATGGGTACTTGGTGAGTGATATGGTCAGCATCATGCCAGTCGTCTTTACTCCCTGTGACTTTACCCACTACCCACTCACAGGGGCCCAGTGTTTTAAAAAAAAAAAAAATTAGTCCGATTCAGTTTGGATTAAACCCACGACTTTCAGATCTGCAGGTGAGTGTATAGCCGCAACACCAAGACACTCCCACACAAATGGGTATGTCATTTTCACAATTTTTTGGGAAGTTGTTGGGAAAAGGAAATTTGATGTGCAAGAAAACTAGCTACCTGACATCAATGTCATGATCTAGAAAATGCAAAAGCTTGAACTTCACACCCCATTTATAGCGTCTGCTGTTGGATTGCTTTTCTACAAGGTTTATCTTTTGTATCTCCTTCTGTGTCTTACTTTGAGGTAGTAGGTAAGGCTGTGTGTCGCTGTCTGTCCAAGTGCTATGTATACATTTGATTTGAAGAGTATGGGGAAGAGAGACACAAACCTGAAGCCTTGTCTACAAGGAAGGTTGGCTGCAATAGACCTCCAACACTCTGTATCTTTTCCTGGTTGTACACTCTCTCAGGCAGCTGCTAGTCCATCTCTTGATGTTGTCCTGCCACTTGTATCATGCCTACCTCTTGCTCTGTTGCCTTCAACCTTTCCCTCCAGTATTATTTTTAAAAGTGTGTTATGACTTTTAATGTGGCTAAAATATATTAATTCTCTTTTTTTTATTTCTTTCAGTAATTCTTTTTTCATTTGTATTCCAAAACCTCTGTATTGGACTGTTTTTGTTTACATGAAATACGACCTATTGTTTTGTAAACCCACATCTCCAGACTCAGTTCGATTTTCTCATTGCTTGTTCATTGTCCAAGTTTCTGCACCATATTGCAGGATTGAGTGTACATAACATTTGACAGTTTTCATGCCATGATGTTAGACTGTCCTGCATTTTCTATCTTGGTCTCCCTCTGCCTCTTTTTCACTCCAGCTTTCCTGCCGTCATGATGTGTCCAGTTTTCTCCTTCTCATGAGATGACCAATGTCTTCTTCTGATATGGGCAGTCAGTTCTCTTCCTGAGTCAGATTCCGTCAAGACATATTCATTACTCTTTTTATCTGTCCAGGTTAGTCTCAGAAACTACATCTCTGCTGCTTCCAAATAATTGTTCACTAATCCACAACTGTCTGTGATTTACTTCCATTATCAGGATAGGATTTTTAAAGATATTAAGAATTCTTGTTCTTGTCTCAGTTGACAAAGAAAGATTGCGTAGAATATTCTTCATTTTGTAAAATGCTGCCTTTGCTTGAGCTAATCACATTTAAATTCTTTCATATTGAAGACCCATCCATCATAAATTACTTGAGAATGGATGAACTAGACCATAGAGTTTTTAATTAGCTTTGTTACTGTTGTTTTATAAACTGTCAGAAAATGTTTTTCTATGAGTTGGCTTGCTTGGTGTTTTCCAGCTTCTCTTGTTCACCACTTGGACGTGGGTTAGACTTGCAAATAGTGCTATAGTTCATAGTAGAATACCATCACCTTTCACGCTTCACTGATAGCTTGTAGCAGGTATGGTTTTTCACACTGTGAAAAGCAATGAGCTCTAAATGTAACAAGAAGAGATAAAGTGAGAAGCTTAAATATGAAGAAGAAACTTGGAATCATATAAGTGTTATATGTTATACAGGAGAACAGGAAAGATGGTTTGGTCATATAGCAAGATTACCACAAGACATTGCCCTACCAGGTTTGTGAGCACCCGGATGAACGGTTGTGTGCAGCGACTTCCCCTGTATCAAGAGCTAGGCCAAATGTCTTCTGTGAGATCCTTGAAATGTTTCTTTTGTCCGTCTTGAGAGTGTTTTTCCTTTGTGTAGTTGACCATTGAAGATTCCTGTGGGCAGTCCTTGGTCTGACATGTGGACAACAAAAGCTTCCCAGTGTAGTTGAGATTGTTTACAAATTGTGGGGGTGCTAGACAGGCCAGCTCTTTCAAGGATAACATTGTACTGGTAAACAGTCTGTCTATACAAAAGTATTGGAGGCACATTTGCTTTATATACTTTAACTGATCCTTACCAATTGATATTACTTATCCTTGCCTGCATATGACTGCAGGTGACACTGTATTGAACAGATATTTTGTTTTATGTCCTTTTATGTTTGTTTTTGGAAACTCATTATTTGTCTGATTGAAAAATGATATTTTGTTTTATGTCCTTTTATGTTTGTTTTTGGAAACTCATTATTTGTCTGATTGAAAATTGATATTTTGTCTCCAGGGACCTGCGAATAACACGGCCTGGCAGAGGTTTTTACCGAAAGGGCCTATAGCTTTTTTACCGGTACGTTTGAGTTTGTCTGTTATCTGGTTGCAGCTAGATGGATGATATCCATTCTTTTTCTGATTATATTGGTGCAGTCATTCTACTACTTCATTAGTTGAGGACTTATACTTCACTGGGAGATCAAAGGCAGAAGAAGAAGAGGAAGAATTATTTTTTTAATAAGAGAGTTTCCCATATGATTTTGGGGCTCCATTTTGGATAATAAAGAGTAGACCCACTCCCCACCCCTCCCCTCCCATCCTCCCAGCAAGCATATCGTAGGCTTAGGGATATTTCCTTCCAAGTCGGGACTGTATCTGTTTGAGAAACAAGGAACTAACAGTCTGCATACAAACAAGACAGATCTGTAAAATGGATGTGCATGCAAAACTCAAGTTCTCGAACAACCAAAACTTTCTGCCAGAATTAACAGTTGGTGAACTCTAAGATAATGAAGTGTAAAAGAAGAATAAGAAATATGAGAGATAAAGAGAAAGAGAGAGAGAGAGACTCATGGGTTTAAAAACAAAACAAAGCTACTTTTTCCCACACCCTAATGTATGTTGGATATGTGGGGCTAGCACCGTATTTGATACACCAGTTGACACTTAAGGGCGATTTGGTTACTACCTTTCTTATTCTTTTATCGGTATCTGCTTATGCCACTAGGCAGTGCAGTTCATCAGATGATTGGCAGCCGAGCCAGGACAAGCTCGGACACTTAATATGCTGTGATATTATGCAGTCTCAAGGCGTCAGTGTATTTCCCATAATATTTCCTGGTACCCATTTGTTAATGTGGAAGTTAAACAAAAATTTCAGTGGGGATTTGAATGCTTGACTACTTGTCAGTTCTCCTAACCACAACATGTCTTTATGTGGCTCATGAGTATATTATTAGTAAGATAAATATCTTACATTTCATTGGTGCTGTTTGCGCCTGTACAGTGGTGGAAGGCCAGGATTTGAATATAGAATATAGTAACTAAAAATAGCATTGGTGTGTGGGGGAGGGGGCAGTGGCTTTTTAAAAGTAAAGTTGATGTAACAGATATAACTTTTTTTCTGTAAAGCTCAGTAATATAGTTCATATGATCACAACATGAATCAACCGATACATTTTTTTTTTCAAAAGGCACATTGAATATATTCTATTTATTGCTTGACTTTTCATGTATAGTTATTGCTTATTTTATTTAAATTTTTTTTACATTTTTTTGTTGTTGCATTTGCTGGGCGATAGGGTTACACTGTTGTAATTTTTGCAGTTTCATTAACTCTGTTAACATTTCCTGCAGCTGAGTGACAAATTATCTTCTCTTGTATGGACGACCACTCCAGAGGATGCCAAACATTTACTCCAGATACCAAGGGAAAGTTTTGTAGATGCAGTCAATGATGCTCTGGTATGTAGACATGTAACCATTGATGAAACTTCCAACTAGAGAGTGCGTATTAAAATGACTAATTCACCCAGAAACAAGATAGGACAGACAAGACATAAAGACTACCTTATAAATTCTTTCACTACCAGACAAATGACTATAATTGCTCTGTACGTGATAAACATGCCAGCATTACAAGTTTGTGATTAAGCTTTTTCTTCTTTTGTCCTACTGTTCATGCTGTGAAGCTTTGCAGAAAAGAGTTAGTTGTAGTTCTTTTGCTAGTTATGTAGCTAGCATAATGTCAAATAGTGTTTCTCTAGTATCTCTTCGACTCCATTCACCCATCTCTTTCTCAGTCAGCCTCATGCCTTGTATGTGGTTAGGCACTAGCAAATGAATCAAAGTCAAAATTTTGAGAGCATGCATCTTCCCTGTAGCAACATGAATAAGATTTGTGGACTCCTGCAGTCATTAAGGAAGAAGATAGAAGCTTTTGAGGTGAAATGCTGTCAAGGAATTCTCAGAATATCATGGACAAAGAAGAAGAAAAAATACTGACATCTCAAAAGATCTTATAATCAAGGAAGATTGGCTGGTAAACAGCATCTTGTCTCAGAAACTGAAATATTTTGTCTATATCAGGCACCGCATGGATTGGACAAAATGATAGCAGACGGCATGGTACCAGGAAAGAAGAGCAGGGGCCAGTCAGCACAAAGATTGGCCCAGGAGTGAGCAGAGGATATAGGTGGCACTATGGGTAAGAAAGTGCACAAGGCTGGAGAGCTGGTGAGAGGTTAAGGTTTTTTTCAGGCAGACTGTGATGAGAGGGATGTTCTACAAAGGACCTGCTACATGATGATGATGGTGATGGTATGCATGGGCTAACTTCTGTCCCCTCTTCATTTGTTGTGTGTATACTTTCTACCCACTTCCACTTCCCCTGTTCCACATTTCAGCTGTTCTAGTTTACTGAGACTCAAAACTATTGCTCTAAAATAGATAAATGTTTAAATTAGAAAGTATTGAAGTAACAGCTGACCTGTGATAAAAGACTTGAGAATAAGTAGCTCACCATTCAGTGGTAATTTTATGTTATATTTTCTAGAGGCTTCACTGTTAACTTTCAGTATATATTTAAAAATAAGACAAAATCAGATATTAAATCTAAATCAAAGTTATGAAAGTTTTAAGTGTCCCATCTGTCTAAAATTGGAGTTTATTGACTTGTACATTGTATGTGTGTGTGTGTGTGTGTGTGTAGCAGGAGGTGGAGCACGTAAAAATGAGCACATCATATCTGATAAACAAAAAAAGCAAGCACTTCCATACATTGCACACCCCCCCCCCCCCCCTCGCCACAGTGTCTTTAAAAAGTAACTTATCTTGCAATAAATAAACTGACAGATGAGCAGAAGAGAGGGCAAGGCTACTCTGATCTGATAGTGTTTGAGAAAACTAAAAGGTCTTTCAGAAATAGATGATGAAACAAGTAGAAAGCTGACCATTCAACACCTGAAACAGACTAGACATGAATAAGTTGTAGTGATCTTGCAAAGGGCCTGTTCAGAGTTGTATACCACATGTTCAACAAACTAAGATGGAAACTACTGATCAGAGTTTTATACCACATGTTCAACAAACTAAGATAGAAACTACTGATCAGAGTTGTATACCACATGTTCAACAAACTAAAGATACAAACTACTGATCAGAGTTGTATACCACATGTTCAACAAACTAAAGATAGAAACTACTGATCAGAGTTGTATACCACATGTTCAACAAACTAAAGATAGAAACTACTGATCAGAGTTGTATACCACATGTTCAACAAACTAAAGATACAAACTACTGATCAGAGTTGTATACCACATGTTCAACAAACTAAAGATACAAACTACTGATCAGAGTTGTATACCACATGTTCAACAAACTAAAGATAGAAACTACTGATCAGAGTTGTATACCACATGTTCAACAAACTAAAGATACAAACTACTGATCAGAGTTGTATACCACATGTTCAACAAACTAAAGATACAAACTACTGATCAGAGTTGTATACCACATGTTCAACAAACTAAAGATACAAACTACTGATCAGAGTTGTATACCACATGTTCAACAAACTAAAGATACAAACTACTGATCAGAGTTGTATACCACATGTTCAACAAACTAAAGATACAAACTACTGATCAGAGTTGTATACCACATGTTCAACAAACTAAAGATACAAACTACTGATCAGTGTTAATGAAACATTTATAATGAAAGCCAAGGCTCTGCGGCTTAGAGGTTCATAAATGCATTTCACAGTTCTCGAATACTAGTTTCAGTTTCATTGGTGGCCTGTTTGCTTTAAAAAAAAAAAAAAAGTCTGCCCTCATGGCATTTGAACAGTGGTATGTGAGTCACACTGTGGCAGAAATTGGAGCTTTGCCAGGCAAGATTCTGCTGATAGCAGTGATTGCACATATCTGCTGCAGTCAATCTCCATTATGTAGACAGTGCAGTTAAACAAGAATGAAAGCCGGTACACTCACTGCCTGGGTTGAAACGTAGAATAAAGAAAGCAATCCTGGTCTACGTGGGTATAATTCCCGGGTAAACTCTACAGAGATATCAACAGCAAATTACTGACTGTAGTATACATGTGCATCTAGTTTGTCAGGTGGTAGTAAACATTGTTATTTAAAATAAAAATGATCGGCTCTCCTTTAAATAACGGTCGCTAGCTGGAAGGCGACGGTCGCTTAGTCAGAGTTCACTCTGTTGGCTGCAGTGCAAATACGGAGTGGTAAAGAGGAAACGAAACAAATGACATACTTACCTGTCATGCTACAGTTGCTTAGGGTTAGGCTAGGCTTAGGGTTTGGGTAGGGTTAGGGTTTGGGTTAGGGTAACACATGTAACGTCGAGTACTTACCCATAATAACGGCCGCTATATGTGAAAATTATCTTGTTTTTGATTCATGACTTGTCCACTCCATATTTGCACTGCAGCCAAGGGAGTAAACTCCGACTAAGCGACCATCGCCTTCCAGCTAGCGACCGTTATTTAAAGGAGAGCCAAATGATCATTGGTTAACAGAAATTGAAGGATGATCAAATTTTGATTTTCATTTTTCCAGTGGAATGACCGGGACAAAAATGCTTTTGCAGGTCAAGTTTTTGATTTTTACAAAAATCTTCTTCGTACAGTATTGCCAGGTAAGCATTTCTAATTTTAGCTTTCAGAATTAACGCATTATTAGATGGCTTTTATTGATGTTTTCTTTGTGTTCATCCGAAGACTTGAATGTGTTGTGCCCATTTACAACGTTGCTCTGATATTTGCACCTTTTGGCCGGCACATCCTGCATGCATTTATTGTCCAGGTTAGCCTTCCCGGTTGGTTTTAAGGGACGTTACAGTCTCGTTGTTGTGTGAACATCATCTTTGTTTCCTAGTTCACATGTGGTACACCTCCCCCTCCTTCTCCCAATCAGACTAGTCTAGGGCAGCCATGAAACGCTGGTCAGCTATCAAGAGAAGGCAGGGGCAGAACATGAGCATTCTTCACCATCCAAGGAGGCTTCCATAAATGCTGAGCCAATACATGGTGCTCTAGTACTGGGCTCACACAAGGAATTGTTACATCCTGCCCATGATGTTTAACCTCACTTCCTATATTGGGCCTCTCATTCATCACCAGCTATGCCTTTAGAAGCCAGCGGGAGGCAGCCTGCAGACCTGGGATTTCATTTACTTTCACAGAATGAGTACTTTGTGTCTTATGCCCTAGTTAAAATAAAATTTGGTTTGTGTTGATTAAATGATTTGAGCAATACTGCGGGGCAGTGTCCACTGTTAGTATATGAAGACTGGGAGGATGAACAAGATGGAAGAATTTATACCTACCTCTGCCTGTGAGGTAAAACAACACAGTGTGTGACACACAAAAGACATGTTATGGACAGTGATGTTCAGGGCTGCCTTGATCAAGATCCTGGATCCTTTGCCAGTTTCTATGCCTGATGCATTCTTGCCTAAGGTGTCTTTCCATGTCCTGTGTCCACCTTACTAGTTAGGGGACCCCTCCCTCCCCCTTTTTCCACCCTTCCAGGAACCATGCCTTTTGTATGTGTTCTTTCTAGACCATAACCACTATAATTTAATATGATGAAAGTATTTCAGTTTTCGATACACTTTGTTATTTATGAGCCAGTTCATTTAGTGTTGATATCTTGTGATTATAATCTCAAATGGCCTCACTTTTCTCCCCATGGCTAGGTTAACAAAAGCCTTCATGTCATGTCCATGGGGAAGGAAAACAGTTCATTTCATGCTCTGTTTGTATTTAGTTATTGAGTCTCTTATGAAAACAATAAAAAATTGGTACTAAACATTAAAGTGAATAATTTTAGTGATTTGGTGGCCTTGATGTAGCTATGAACTTCACACTTGCCTGTTTTCTTTGCAGTCTTAGGGGTTGACCCTCTTGATGCTTATAAAAACTGCCCAAGACTCATAATTTCTACTGGTTTTTTTTTTCTTTTTCTCTAGAGATTCTTAGGAAAGAGTTTAAGAGAATTAAAGTAATTAGTCTTAGTTTTAGTCAAGGTTTCAGCTTCACTGCAGTCATGTCACCCCATACCTGCTCCATTCTTGTGCCAGTATGAATCAAATAAAATGTCCCTCACTGTCGCCTTTGAAAAACTGGTGAACAAACAACTAGTCCCGGTACAATCTAGAAATATGAGCGTGCAGTAAATGCATAAGGCAGTTGCTAGAGGTGCCAAAGCCAGGTCACAGTTTTTTATTGATAGAGTTGGTCACGATATGTTAGCTATACACATGTAAAATTATTGCATAAGGTATTTCACCAGCTCATCCATCCGTAAACTGGCTACCAGCCATATTGAATACCACAGCTCAACCGCTGCATAAATGAAGGATATTCCACATGAAAAACACAGCTCACAGTGCTGCACCTAACACTTGACTCAGTAGCTTAAGTAGCGAAACCATAGACTTCCATCCACATTGTGGACACTGCATTAGCAGAGCGCTGTCAAAAGCAAAAATAACTCTGAAAATAAACATTCTGCCATCCTAGTCCTCCATATTGGGCCGGGAGTCTTTAAAATTATAAGGATGGGTTTTTAAAAAAAATATGAAATTTAGAAAAATGTATTTGTTTTTTTAAAACTTATTTTTACGGGGGAAAGGGTTAACAAGCATCTGGTAAAAGGGGGACTAATTTAGGAATTGTTGAAATTGGATGTGCTGGGCCAAAAGGTGCAAACATCACAGTCTTGCTGTAAACTACAACACAACATACCAGGGCAGATGCAGAAGACGACGACCATGTGAATGCCAGAATCTTTTTGTTTGTTCTTGGTCCACATCTTTGCATTTTTATGTAACAGTAATGTCCCCAAATCCTAATTTTGTTTATATTGATGTTATAAAATGATCTACTGACATCTTTTTGTTACCCAAAAATGCATGTTTTTAAATTATTAATTTATTTGACATATTTTTTTTTTTTTTAAATCAATCCTCTTAATGTATTTTTTAAAAAGGGGAATCAAACACAATCCGTCAGCTACCGCCAACGGTAATGGATGTGCAAGAAGGTTCAAGGGCAGCTTTCCCGCTGACACTCATTCATGCTTCCCATTATGTGAAACCACGGGTAGCTCTTGTTGGGTAAGGTTTTATCAACTGTTATGATTACTGTACCTTACCACCTCTATCAATAATACTGCGGTTACTTATACTGGTACTACTACAACTACTATCCACCTCTATCAATAATACTGCTGTTACTTATACTGGTACTACTACAACTACTTACCACCTCTATCAATAATACTGCTGTTACTTATACTGGTACTACTACAACTACTATCCACCTCTATCAATAATACTGCTGTTACTTATACTGGTACTACTACAACTACTATCCACCTCTATCAATAATACTGCTGTTACTTATACTGGTACTACTACAACTACTATCCACCTCTATCAATAATACTGCTGTTACTTATACTGGTACTACTACAACTACTATCCACCTCTATCAATAATACTGCTGTTACTTATACTGGTACTACTACAACTACTATCCACCTCTATCAATAATACTGCTGTTACTTATACTGGTACTACTACAACTACTATCCACCTCTATCAATAATACTGCTGTTACTTATACTGGTACTACTACAACTACTATCCACCTCTATCAATAATACTGCTGTTACTTATACTGGTACTACTGCAACTGCTTACCACCTCTATCAATAATACTGCTGTTACTTATACTGGTACTACTGCAACTGCTTACCACCTCTATCAATAATACTGCTGTTACTTATACTGGTACTACTGCAACTGCTTACCACCACCATTTCTGCTGCTGCAGCACTTCCCGGTTTAAGTAATTACAAATTAAAGAATGTTTCAAGTTTTTACAACTATTGGACAGATCGTCTTTCTTCGCTGCATGATAGGGCAGATTAACTTAACAAGCAAATTGCACAGGCTCTGTCTGAGTAGTTCACCGTTGTGCCCATGTGGGTGGGCTGTGTGTGCAAACTACAGAATGTAACTTGCAAGTCTGACTCATGAACAACCTATAAAGAAGCAAATACATGCCTAATGAGTCAATACCATACTCATAGTTGTATGGAACTGAAAGGAACTCCAAAAAACAGTCAGTTTTATCACAAGAATCTGTCGGTCTAAATCAGAGAGTGATCACAAGAAGAAGAAGAAGAATCAGCCATGATTAAAGAATGGTTCAAGTATTTAAGAATGGTATAGTTGTTTCACCTTTGTTTAAAAGTACAGTTCAGGTAATTACAACCATGTTCAGGAATGGTTAGGGTAATTATAGCTCTGTTTAAGAGTGGTAGAAGTTATTACGGCCCTATTTAACCCTCTTAGCACGGACGGGCCGATTATCGGCCGGCAGATGTCTGGCCTGATCGTGTTTCGCCTCGAACCGCTAAGAAATCTCTTATTTTGAAATTCTGAAAGTGATTCATTTATATTCACTGCTATATTAGCTTTACACATGGCGACTTTCGAGTGTTTGGTATCGAAGTGAAAATTTTTGAAATTTTTTAGATAGTGACCTGAACCGCTAAAAGTATGTCTGACTCGTATGTTTCTGCCCCTTAACTTGATGTTGATAAAACATTTGAATCAAGTGATGACACTATTCTGTTGATACTGATGCAGGATCTAGTGTTAGTAGTAATAGTGGGGAATCAGATGGGGACGCTGTTGTGTTCAGACCACAGCCCAACCATGGCTCAGGGTATATCCACCTGAAAGTGTTATCACTCTGGCACCTCCATTTCTTGTGCTGAATGATGGTCAAAAACACATGTCACCTAAAGATATTATTGCTGTTTCATATATATATATATATATATCTGTTTTTGACTATTGAATTGCTTACAACATTTGTAAAAAGGCCAAAGATCAATAAAAAGATTTCAAATAAAATATATTTTTGTTTTTAGTTTTATGTTTCATGCATTGAAGTTGAAAATTCACATTCTAATTCTCTATTTTTAGATATGCAAATGAGATAATTTGCATATACATCAATTAATTTTAACGATATTGTGAAAATCATGAACTTCAATCTATATCCTTCAAATATATATATTATTTCATGGGGGTCAGAATAATAGAAATGTGTCAAAAAAATTAAATAAAGTAATAACCAAATTTACTGAAAAAATGCTCCGTGTTTTTGGCTAGACATCTGAAAAACTTCCCGTGCTAAAAGGGTTAAGAATAGTTCAAGTTTATATTTCTTTTTTTGTGTGTGTTCACCAGCTGCAAACTCTGGCGGAAAGTCCTGGTTGTTCGTCCGCATCTGTTCCAGAACTTGAGTTTTGCATGCACATCTGTTTTACAGATCTGGCTTATTTGTATGTTGACTGCTGGTTACTTGCTTCTCGGGCAGATGCACTCCCAACTTTGGAGGAAGCACCACTAAATAGTAGACTTTTGCCTGAGTGGGTTCTTGGGCCCCTTTTTGGGGAAAACGAGAGTAGACAGAACCCCAGCCTCCCCAACATGCATATCATAAGAGTTGACTAATTGGGTGTTTCTTTCAAAGTCGGAGTGCATATGCCTGAGAGGCAAGGAACCAACAGTCTGCATACAAATAAGTGAGATCTGTAAAAAAAACATTTGCATGCAGCAATCAGTCCAGAGGTGGATAAACAGCCGCAGTTTACAGCTGGTGAACGCAAAGAAGAAGAAAAAAGAAAGAGACTTTTATGACAAGCAAATTAGTGGGTCATTGGGTCTTTTTTTTTCTTTTTTTTTTTTGGGCCACCAAAATGGGGCCTTGGAACTCACTCAGAAAGTTTATATTTTATTTATTCTTGTTTTTGATGTGTTTCTATCAAACTGTAGTGATGCTGGGCACAGACTACACCCACTAGCAGGTCAAGGGGTCAACCTGGGTTTCGGAGATGTTCAGTGTCTCTCAGACATCTTGGGCCGGGCAGCATACAATGGTTCAGATCTGGGTAAGGCATTACATGGTTGTTTTTGTCATTTTTTTTGGATTTTTTTACAAAGCTCTTTACTTGTCTGCTTCTCAGAGACACAGCTGTTTACTTGTCTGCTTCTCAGAGACACAGCTCTTTACTTGTCTGCTTCTCAGAGACACAGCTCTTTACTTGTTGCTTCTCGGAGACACAGCTCTTTACTTGTCTGCTTCTCAGAGACACAGCTCTTTACTTGTTGCTTCTCGGAGACACAGCTCTTTACTTGTCTGCTTCTCAGAGACACAGCTCTTTACTTGTTGCTTCTCAGAGACACAGCTCTTTACTTGTTGCTTCTCAGAGACACAGCTCTTTACTTGTTGCTTCTCAGAGACACAGCTCTTTACTTGTCTGCTTCTCAGAGACACAGCTCTTTACTTGTCTGCTTCTCAGAGACACAGCTCTTTACTTGTCTGCTTCTCAGAGACACAGCTCTTTACTTGTCTGCTTCTCAGAGACACAGCTCTTTACTTGTTGCTTCTCGGAGACACAGCTCTTTACTTGTTGCTTCTCAGAGACACAACTCTTTACTTGTTGCTTCTCAGAGACACAACTCTTTACTTGTTGCTTCTCAGAGACACAACTCTTTACTTGTTGCTTCTCAGAGACACAACTCTTTACTTGTCTGCTTCTCAGAGACACAGCTCTTTACTTATCTGCTTCTCAGAGACACAGCTCTTTACTTGTTGCTTCTCGGAGACACAGCTCTTTACTTGTCTGCTTCTCAGAGACACAGCTCTTTACTTGTTGCTTCTCAGAGACACAGCTCTTTACTTGTCTGCTTCTCAGAGACACAGCTCTTTACTTGTCTGCTTCTCAGAGACACAGCTCTTTACTTGTCTGCTTCTCAGAGACACAGCTCTTTACTTGTCTGCTTCTCAGAGACACAGCTCTTTACTTGTTTGTAATCATTTATAGCAAAGATGATATGAAGTAACTCTAGAACCTGCAGTGAATAATGGAGTTTAAGCAAAAAGTCTGTTCAATCTTCTGTATGGTTTCCACTTTAGTATCACCAAGCTTTTGGTAAAGTCTAACACAACAGAGCTGCTCAAGTCATTCTGTTATTTCATGGCAAATGAAAATCTGACAGACATTCACTACACTTACTCACTCACAGATTGACTGCTAATGACTGGCGCTCTCTGATGGAGGAGACAGGTTCAGGCATGTGCATAAGGGTTTCCTACCCCTTTCTACCATATAAAACCTGTGCTTGCTAGGTAATCAGGTATATTTGCAGTTCCAGCTTCATAGTAAACGGGTCGCCCATAGTTGCTCCACTCCTATGCCAACAAAAATCACACAGAATGTCCATCACTGTTCCTTGTGAAAAATGGACACAGACTGGCAATCTCAGCATATCCAGTAGCATACACTTGCCAGGTTATTTTCTGCTAGGGAAAAATTGTTAAATACTTTTTTGAACATGCCTGTTAGTTCTAACATGCCAAGTGTTAGCTCTGGAGATTTTTTTTTTGTTTTGTTCAAAGGATAAAGGCAGTAAATCAGTGATCCATTCTTATTATGGCTTTCTTTGTGTCCTCTTTTGCTTACACCCTTTAAAAAGGCATTTGGCATGATGTATTGTGGTTTACAGCTAGGCTGCAATGTCTGCACATAGAGGTCCAACACACCAAGTGTCAGCAAACCCTTCACAGTTAGTCACCTTTTATACCATATGTGTTAAGGGGTGGTGGGTCAGGTTATCGCCCCTACTCCCCACCACCCCCCCCCCCCCCTTTTAGGTCCTCAGAACCGTTACATAGAGGCCTTCTCTATAGCATAGGGATATGTTGTCTGTGAAGTGACTGTGAAGCAATGTTATATAATGTTATTTCGGTGTCACTAGGCTCCTTGCCTCATCTGCTGCAGTATGAGACAGAGAGGCAGCGACACAACGTCCCAGTGATGGTGGCCATTGATGGCCTGCAGCGATTATATTGCAACCAGTTCACTCCCTTTGTGGTTTTACGCAACCTGGGACTACACACCGTGCAGTCTTTGCCATTTTTGAAGGTTAGTTCTCACATCATTCTGACTCTTGATGTGTTCATACATTCAAATATTAGTCTGCTCAAACAAACATTCATACGTCAGTCAGACTGCTCACAATTGTTTGAATATTCACACAGCAATCTGTCTCCACTCAGACATGTACATATGTAAGTCTGCTCAAACAAACATTAATTCATTGATCAGTCTGCTTAGACATTCATTCATCGATCAGTCTGCTAAGACATTCATTCATTGATCAGTCTGCTTAGACATTCATTCATTGATCAGTCTGCTTAAACATTCATTCATCGATCAGTCTGCTTAAACATTCACACAACATGTCTGTTGAAACATTGACACATTAAGTGTGTTGAATAACGTCCACCCTTGTCAGACTTCTCAAACATTCAGACTTGTCAGTCTTCTCAAACATTCAGACTTGTCAGACTTCTCAAACATTCAGACTTGTCAGACTTCTCAAACATTCAGACTTGTCAGACCTCTCAAACATTCAGACTTGTCAGACCTCTCAAACATTCAGACTTGTCAGACTTCTCAAACATTCAGACTTGTCAGACTTCTCAAACATTCAGACTTGTCAGACCTCTCAAACATTCAGACTTGTCAGACTTCTCAAACATTCAGACTTGTCAGACTTCTCAAACAGTCAGACTTGTCAGTCTTCTCAGACAAACATTCATACATCAGTCTGTCTGCCCAGACATCCACACATAAGTGTGCTTAAATGCCCACGCATTAATTTAGATGTTAATTTGGTTAAGTGCAAGTTATAACTGAAAAACTGACATATTACGCTAAAAATACTTTTATATTTGTAAAAACATATGTGTGACAAATTGTGACCAAGGGCTTAAGTAGTATCACAGATTGTGTTGAGCAAAAGAAGATATTGCTCTTTCAAAAGGCAAAGAATAATATGTGAATTTTTAAGTTAAATGTACATTACATAATTTGAAAATTAATTTCAAAAATAAAAATACATATTGAGCAATATGACCTGTATATGTTAAATAATTAGAACTAACAGTAAATATATATGACATAAACAGTATGATGAAAACAGGAGGTGGAACTATAAATGTTTTATCTAGCAATATAGACAGCGATGGGGAGCAGGTAGCGGTATTAAAATAAGAATAGGAGCTTCCAATTTCATAGGAAATTTGTGAAGTCAAACAGTGTGTCTACAGTATATACATATTAACTGTCAAGAGTGATGTCAGATCAGATCAGTATGTACATGATGCCTTGTTTTAAACATTTGCACGGCCACAGGGTTAAAGCACACCGGGCATGTGATGCTGGCTCCATTTGGTGCAGTCAGCGTAGAGATTACGATTCTTGTACCCATTAAGCCAAGAGAGGCACAGAATCCTGTCTTACAACACTTTTATTGTGTCTGCTGAAGCAAGCAGACATTATTTTTCCCCAGCTTAAAAAAATTTTTTTTTTTTTTTTTTAAACTTTTATGAGTAAAATAAAGAGTTGTAGCAATAGCTGTTTTTGTTTTATTCTTGAAGAAATGGGGTATATTTTTAGTTTATAACAGTAACAGTTTGATAACTGTGTTTCAGCCGGTGGCAAGACTCATATAATGTTATTTCTGTCATTGCATTTCTAACATATTCACAAATTGTTTCCCCAGAATGCAATCATTAACCAGGCTTCAGTGTGATAAACAAAGGGTTTCTAATCCCGTCTGCTGCGATTCTTGATCAGAAGCAAGATACAGTTTTATTCTAAAAATGTCAAAGCAATGAGTTGGCTGTTTTTTGGTTTAGTAAAGACAATTATGACCCATCTTTACCCGTAAAGATCATGGAAATAGGTCTATACAAGAAGTGTAGATATTTATTTAAGGGAATGTTATAAATAGATAAAGTTATATATATGTAGATATTTAAATTACCAAGAGAGGTATTACACATGGCCAGGGTCTGTGATAATTTCACACAGGGTGTGTGAATCAAGTTTGAAATATGACAGCTCACTTAACAGAGGGTTACAAAATCATGTGACAGGTTTTGTAATCCTGTTAAACTAAATTGAATCAACCTACCTAAGAATGACTTTTTTTTTTTTTCAAGTGGCTGTAAAGTTATTTGGTTTTCTTCTTCTTCTTCGAGTTCACCAGCTGTACACTGGCAGAAAGTTCTGGTTGTTTGTCCACTTCTGAACTGCAGTCCTGCTCCAGAACCTGAGTATTGCGTGTGCATCAATTTTACAGATCTGATTCACTTGAATGTAGACTGTTGGTTCCTTGCCTCTCAGGCAGACGCACTCCGACTTCAAAGGAAGCTCCCCAGTTAGTCAGCTCTTACAACATGCTTTTGGGTAGCAGTGGGTGGATTCTTGTTTTCCCTACAATGAGACCCCGGAACCCACACAGGAAATTTGGTTTTTAATACAGATCTTGCGACATTTGTGTATCAGTGCTTGGAGTAGGGGTGGACAAACTATGGCCCTTGGGCCAGAACTGACCTGCAGAGCAGATTTTCCTGGCTCGTGATGCTGGTGTAAAATTACTATAATCTGGCCCTTAAGCGCAGAATAGCAGAACACAAAAGCATATGTTCAAATGCAGAAAGAAAAAATATCTGAATATCAGCAACACTCCCCCCTCCCTCCCCCAGTGATAACTGAAATAGTGATCTGTAGATAACTAACTTGAACAAACATATTTAGGAATATTTAGGGCTTCAGTGGGTGGGCTTGTCTGGCCAGAGGCTCAGCAAGGGATTATAATCTTAGACTCTCCCACAAAAATGTCGTGGTATGAGGAAATCTAGGTGTTATTTTTGTAATAGATTTTTCTTCCATATGGCCTGCGACAGGTTGGTAATTCTAAATTTGGCTCACGGATCAACACACAAAAAAAGGGAGTTGCCAACCCTTTCTCTTGCTAAACCTTTCAGGTTTTTTTTAAGCATTCTTTTAAAAATAAAAACATCATTTTAATCAGAGAAATTTATGTTATCTTCGCTCTGTTTTTTTCTTATATGAATGGATATGCAGAAAGGTAAAGAAGTAGTTTGCCAGATTGGCAGCAACATGAAACTTTTCCATGACAAAATAAAACATTTCCTGAATGCCATAGATGCTTTTGCGGAGCTGCTTTGAGTGTTTCAAACAAACCCATTGGAAAGACATCAACAATCATACAACCAGATACACAGTAGGTAGAAAGTCTAAAGAAGAAACATATCAAGTGGACACAGTTACATGCGGAAATAAATAGATAACATAGGTACCATAACTGAGTGTTTATGACAGTTTCATCAAATGTGTGAAAGTAAAAACTAGCATTTCTTTTAAAAATAGTGTTTTCCTGTTGTAAATGTAAAATAGTGTGGACACAAACTTGACATTGCACAATGTAGTTGTAATGGGGACACAAACTAGACACTGAACAATGTAGTTGTAATGGGGACACAAACTATACACTGAACAATGTAGTTGTAATGGGGGACACAAACTATACACTGAACAATGTAGTTGTAATGGGGACACAAACTATACACTGCACAATGTAGTTGTAATGGGGACACAAACTATACACTGAACAATGTAGTTGTAATGGGGACACAAACTATACACTGCACAATGTAGTTGTAATGGGGACACAAACTGTACACTGAACAATGTAGTTGTAATGGGGACACAAACTATACACTGCACAATGTAGTTGTAATGGGGACACAAACTATACACTGAACAATGTAGTTGTAATGGGGACACAAACTATACACTGCACAATGTAGTTGTAATGGGGACACAAACTGTACACTGAACAATGTAGTTGTAATGGGGACACAAACTATACCCTGCACAATGTAGTTGTAATGGGGACACAAACTATACACTGCACAATGTAGTTATAATGGGGACACAAACTATACACTGAACAATGTAGTTGTAATGGGGACACAAACTATACACTGCACAATGTAGTTGTAATGGGGACACAAACTGTACACTGAACAATGTAGTTGTAATGGGGACACAAACTATACACTGCACAATGTAGTTGTAATGGGGACACAAACTTTACATTGCACAATGTAGTTGTAATGGGGACACAAACTATACACTGCACAATGTAGGGGACACAAACTATACACTGCACAATGTAGTTGTAATGGGGACACAAAACTATACACTGCACAATGTAGTTATAATGGGGACACAAACTATACACTGCACAATGTAGTTTGTAATGGGGACACAAACTATACACTGCACAATGTAGTTGTAATGGGGACACAAACTATACACTGCACAATGTAGTTGTAATGGGGACACAAACTATACACTGCACAATGTAGTTATAATGGGGACACAAACTATACACTGCACAATGTAGTTGTAATGGGGACACAAACTATACACTGCACAATGTAGTTGTAATGGGGACACAAACTATACACTGAACAATGTAGTTGTAATGGGGACACAAACTATACACTGCACAATGTAGTTGTAATGGGGACACAAACTGTACACTGAACAATGTAGTTGTAATGGGGACACAAACTATACACTGCACAATGTAGTTGTAATGGGGACACAAACTATACACTGCACAATGTAGTTGTAATGGGGACACAAACTTTACATTGCACAATGTAGTTGTAATGGGGACACAAACTGTACACTGAACAATGTAGTTGTAATGGGGACACAAACTATACACTGCACAATGTAGTTGTAATGGGGACACAAACTATACACTGCACAATGTAGTTGTAATGGGGACACAAACTAGACACTGCACAATGTATTTGTAATGGGGACACAAACTACACTGCACAATGTAGTTGTAATGGGGACACAAACTATACACTGCACAATGTAGTTGTAATGAGGACACAAACTTTACACTGCACAATGTAGTTTTTCTACATAGGCCATCGTCATAGTTCAGTAAACTGATTCCTAAGTGATTTTAACACAAATCAGATTTAATTATCGAGTGGCCATCTTCAACTTTGTATTTAATGTAGCTATGGTCATGTTTTAGTTATGAAAATATTTTTTAAACAATGGACATTATCCCGTTCGTTGCAAGCAGCAGCAAAACCAAGATTTCTGATTCTGAGACCGTATTTCTGGCAATATACCTGAGAACTTTTATTTTTCCTGGCAGTATGAAATATTTAAATAACACGGACACAAACAATTTATTGCCTGGCATAATCTGCAATATCACATCAGGTGCATCACAACAGTTAGATCCACATATAATGATGCACACAAATGAATCCTCTCCACTAAAATTCACAAATCACAATGTCTCTAGTTACAGTCTACAGTTCACAAGTAAATTTCAATCTTCTGGGGGTTATCGCATGGATAATCTTGACTTCTAGTGGTGAGATATTACCAGGTAGTAAATTGTGGAATGTATTATGTTTGCAATATTTAAATTTACAAATTTTAAATTTGAATAGTAAAGTATAAATATACAAAAGAAAATAACTTACTATAAAAATACATATTGGAATTTCTTTTTGTTCTGTCCGATTTATGTAAATGCATTGTGCTTGTTGATGGGACGTCGCAGGTCGACCCAGCCTCAAATGGGTACCAGGATGGGCTGTCCTGGGGAAGTAAAGACGGCCGGCGTAATGCTGACCACATTACCCATCGAGGGCCGATTGGTCTGTAAAAATATGGGTGCTTTTCCCATATGCCCGATGCACCTAGTGCGTGTAAAGGGATCTTTACTTTTTTGTGTGTGTGTGTGCTTGTTTACAGCAAAGCTGCAATATTTGCACTTTTTAGTCTACACATCCGACTTCATCAAGCATTTGTTGATCAGGTTAACTTTCCGGATAGTTTTATGTGTCTGGGACATGTGGCCTTATTTATGTGGTGTTCTCTTTGTCCTCTTATCTCAGTGTAGACAGGCTCTCAAGGGAAGGCAAGGGCAGATCATGGACATTCCATGCTGTTCAAGGAGGCTTTCATAAATGCAAAGCTGACACATGAGCTCACCCAAGGAATTGTCACGGGCTGCACCCTCCGGAGATCAGCAGGAAGCAGCCCGCAGGTCCAGGACTTCAATTAGTAGACCTTTTTTCTTTGGTCAGACATTCGGGACTTTGTTTCTGTGTCATAAGACATGTTTCAGACGGACATTTATGCCAAAACAGCACACTGACAGTGACAGGTTATCGTGTTGTATCTCAGTGTGGTGAGGACGATGCTGAGGAACAGCAAGGGATGTAAAGAGACAGGACAGGACTGTTCCACAAGTTACCGCCTGCAAGAGATGTTGCTTGTCTAGACTGCGAGCAGATATCTTGTTTTAGGGTTGAATCTCAGCAGTACAGTGGTTCTTCCCACTCATTTAACCAAGGGTTGTCATTTAATAGTATATTCGGTTAGCGGACTTTCCCCATGTTCCAAATGAGCTTTGATAGAAGTTTTTACCCAAGCACTAGGAGTGGGCTGATTTGAGCTAGACTGGACACTATATTTCTTGAGGGAGCCAGCTCCGAGACTCCATGCCAGCTCAGTTCAGGTCACAAAGGTGAGCCTTTATCCATGGCCCACAATAAGGATGTGCGGCAGGAGGAGGATCGGTAAAAGCATCCCCAGAACTGGCTGGCACCCGAGGTGAGGTACAGAGTAACTCCTTATACACATCACAGCGGCTTTAACTCTCACTCC